CGAGATCCACAGGTGGGAGAGGAGCAGAGAGCCCTTCCAGGGGCTGGGAAGCGCCGTGCGATGTTCTGGTGTCCTCTTAGACAACGTCTTTGCTTTGAAATGCTTTTTTTCTGGAAATCATTCTCAGTCCTGGGAGCTCCCAACAGGTGGGACGGTGCTGGTTAGGAGGGGCTCAGAGGCTGTGYGCTGATGGGGACACATGGAAAAGTGGTTTTGTTGCTTATTTTTCTGCATTTCCCGGCCCTGAGACCGTTTAAATCCTCCCAGTGGTTGGTTTTTTTTTTTTGTTTTTTTTTTTTTTGGTAGGAATTTGAGGGTCAGAGTTGCTTCTGTCTCCTGGCAGGAGGTGTCATAGGTGTGTTGATGTTAATTAAAGTTTCCTCAGGTCCGTTTGAAATAGACTGGGTAGAAGTTTGTCCTTCTGAGCTCCTGATGGAAACAGATGTAGCKGGTGGGTGCAGAAAGGAACATCACCAGAATTCTTGTCCTTCATTCCTGAACGCTTTGGCTCTCGGGGAATTTAAAATTCCTGGCTTTCAGTTTGATGTCTTGGCTCGAACCAGACATGGGCCCCACCTCCCTTGTCCCTCTCTGTGATGCTTCCTAATCCTGGGAGCTGATTTACCTCGTCCTAATCCCAGTGACCTGTTGCTGTAGGGATCCTCTTAACCCTGGCCTGGATCAGCTCAGGGACACACCAGCTTTTCCATGAGCAATTTCCATATTGTTCCTGCAATATTCCTGTGATTCCTCAGCGTTTACAAAAGGTGTTGGGAAGAAAAAAGTGGATTTTTGGCTTTATTTTCTGAGTGTGCAGCAAAACAGGTCCAGAACTCCAYTCAGCTGTGTGGGAAACTGTGGACTAAAGATTTGGGATTCTGCTGATTGCTGGAGTGGGGAGTGTTGGAGAAAGGGTGGAATTGCTCAGTCCCACAGGGATTTTGTTCCTGGTGGTTATCACTGGTTCTTACCTGGCTGGAAAAGGGGTTGGAAGGAATTGCCACATATCCCTGGCAGTGTCCAAGGCCGGGTTGGACAGATTTTGGAGCAAATCTGGGRTRGTGGAAGGTGTCCCTGCCCACTGCAGRSRGTGAAACTGGATGAGWTTTTTKGTGTTTTCCGACCCAAACYATTCCATGATTCCCTGAATAGARGGGCTTGGTGAAYTGAATTAAARKGGGAGAAAACTGCTRTGCTGATGGATGAATTCCCATGGGAGAAGCAGCCCCTCTGGCTCGGTGCTGCCTTGGAGCAGTGCAGAATATCCGTGTCCAATCCCTCCTTCCAGCTGTTCCACAGGACCCCTTTTTGCTGCCTATGACACCGGATCCCCCATGGGAATCGAGTTCCTCTTATAGCAGTGATGCCATTTGTGTTGCTAAATTTAAGGTGGTGTCAGTGCTGCTATTCCAAAGCCTTGGTTTTGGGGAGAAGGTGCCTAAACCACCCCTTTGAGGTGCCTAAACCACCCCTCTCAGCCCTGCTCTCCATTGCTCTCTCTGCACCTCTGCAGTTTTCACCTCGTTATCTCACTTAATATTAAATTAGAGCCAGATCTGCACTCGTTTTAATAAATCAGTAATTTTTTAATAGTTTCTAAAMACAATTTTAAAAAATTGTTTTCAAGGAGGAGGTGGCTGCCCCAGAGGCAACACAGAGGGATCTGTGTCCAAACTTTCAGAACAGTTTTGGGAGCTYCTCTCCCACCTCAATCACTCCAGTGCAGCAGCTTTGGGTCACTCAGTWAATTATTCCCAAGTTAATTTGGAGCAGGAGGTGCAGCCAGAGGCAGGGAATGCAGCTTGGTGCCTTGAAGACTTTTCAAATAGGTTTTTTTTTTGGCTAAAGGAAAACTTAATAAACTGATCTTGCCAATACTCGGGGCTTGTGGTGCTTCCCCTGCATTTCTGTGCCAAAGTGCTTTCCTTGCCTTAAATTCTTCCCAAATATCCATTTGTGGCTGGAAGCAAAGGCTCCAGCAGAGGTTGAAACCCGTGGTAAAATGATTTAATGCCTCTTGRGATGATCCTGAGCCTCTCACCATGGCTGCAGGGGCAGAGCTCGCAGCAGATTCATTCCTCAGGGGAATAAACAGTGGAAGAAATTGGTGTCTCTGCTTCTTGCAGCCCTGGCAGGGAGTGTTGAAAGAAAATAAATGCATGGGACAGGTGAATTTATTCAACTCCTACCTTGGTCTGTTTTTTTTTTTTTTTTCAAGGATGGATTTTGGAAGTGCCTGTTGGTGTTTGGTAAAGACTTGGAAAGGTTAGAGACCTCCAGGTGCCTGGAGTGTGTTTGGAAAAGGACAGCAAAATCTGGGAAGGGGCTGGAGCAGCAGGAAAAGRGTCTGGAGAACTTTTGAGGGRKCTGTGAGGGCTCAGCCTGGAGAAAAAAAGGCTCAGGAGGGACTTTCTGGCTCTGCACAAGTTCCTGACAGAAGGGGCAGCCAGGTAGGGTCAGGCTCTGCTCCTGGGGAACAGGAACAGGATGAGAGAAGAGTCTCAGGCTGTGCCAGGGGAGGGACAGAGTGGACATCAGGAGGAATTTTTCCATGGGAGAAGGAAAAGAAGGAGGAAGAAAAGGGGAAAGGAAAAGAGGGAGGAGGAAAAGGGGGATGAGTAAAAGAGGGATGAGGAAAAGGGGGATGAGTAAAAGAGGGACCAGGAAAGGAGGGATGAGGAAAAAAGAAACGAGGAAAAGAGGGACGAGAAAAGAGAGAGCAGGAAAAGAAAGAAAGAGAAAAAGAGGGATGAGGAAAAGAGGGAGGAAGAAAAGTGGGATGAGTAAAAGAGGGAGAAGGAAAAGAGGGAGGAAGAAAAAGGGAAAGAGGAAAAGCGGGAGGAGGAAAAGGGGGATGAGTAAAAGAGGGACCAGGAAAGGAGGGATGAGGAAAAAAGAGACGAGGAAAAGAGGGATGAGAAAAGAGAGAGCAGGAAAAAGAGGGATGAGAAAAAGAGGATGAGGAAAAGAGGGAGGAGGAAAAGGGGGATGAGGAAAAGAGGGAAAAAGGAAAAGAGGGACCAGGAAAAGGGGAATGAGGAATAGAGAGAGGAGGAAAAGGGGGAGGAGGAATGAAAAAAAGGATGAGGAAAAAAGGGATGAGGAAAAGATGAGGAAAAGAAGGATGACAGAAAGAGGGACCAGGAAAAGGGGAGTGAGGAATAGAGAGAGGAGGAAAAGAGGGAGGAGGAATGAAAAGAAGAATGAGGAAAAAAGGGATGAGGAAAAGATGAGGAAAAGAAGGAYGACAGAAAGAGGGACCAGGAAAGGAGGGATGAGGAAAAAAGAGACGAGGAAAAGAGGGATGAGAAAAGAGAGAGCAGGAAAAAGAGGGATGAGAAAAAGAGGATGAGGAAAAGAGAATGAGGAAAAAAGAGGGA